CACACCCCTTCCCTGAGAATTTAAACTAGCTGTAAGGTGAAGCTGACAAGGCATCTAAAAAAACACTGTTTAAAAACATTCAGTGGTTTTATTTTCATCTTTAGCAGTCTTAAATATCAAACCAGGTAAACAAGAACAGCAGCAAGCTGGAGCAACATGCTGCCCAGACAGCACGCGGGACTTTTAAAAAAAGATTTCACATAAAAATCAGTGCAGAGTCCGGCTTCCTTGGACGAGGCAGGTGCTGAGAAGAGGAGAGAAGAAACAGACACCAGAAACCAAGCCGGCACCTAAATGCAAGTATGCCACAAGTGTCAACTCAGGAAATCAAGGGCAGTTTCGACTTTTAGGTGAGTAAGAGAAAGAAAGAAAAATCCAAAGAGGAGACGTGATAGAGGCTTATACAACTTCACGGATAGCCAAGAGAGAACAACCTTGCTACAAGTAACAGGCTGAGTGGTTATTCAACAAAACTAATGAACGGCCTTTCCATGCAATGCATAACTAGCTCAGGGCACTGACTGGCAGAAGGTTCAGTCACAGCCACTAGCCGGGCGGTACTAAGAAAGGAGCTGGAAAAAAGGCAGGGCAGCTTCTCACAGCAGCAGCAGCAGCAGCAGCAGCAAAGAATGGACCTTCCGCGTGCCCCAGCAGAAGAGCTGCGGGGAAGAGACTCGGAGCGGAAGGGTTGTGCTTGGAGCCAGCGCAAGGGACCCGCCTGGCAGAGGCCAAGCCATGGGCTCCTTGGAGAGGAGAGGGCATCTCTCGGCCGAAGGAGTGCTCCTCCTCCTCCTCTGCTTAAGAAACCCCGAAACTGGCCCTCGGTTACACAAAGGTTATCGTTCACATTTCTGGGAGCTGAAGAAAGTTAGTTCTCTGCCAGCCGTGTTCATTAAGGTCCCCACAGCTTCTGCAGCCCTAGGAGAGAGGAAGCTCCCCACAGACACAGAGCCTTCTAGTTGAGATTTCTCAGGAAGAAAAGCCTTTTACAGGTTTTAATAGGCTTGTACATGCAAGTTATGGTGCCCAGGAGGAGAGAGTGAGAGTGAATAAAGGAAAACAATTTTATTAAGCAGTTTGCATAGATTTCTTTAAAAAATAAATTAGCATCCACTAATTAAATTAGCATTCTGAAACAAACGAAGAGGGGAGTGGGGAGAGGAAGGGGAAAGGAAATAGGTGACACTAAAGCATTTTCTCTTAGATTGTGTTCTCTGCCTCAGTATAAATACATTAGTAAATGCCAAGACATTGATAGATATCAAAGGATTTCACAGTTCTGGAGGTGGAAGCAACATTGCACTATTTGTGCCAATCCAAGAGTGCATGCAGTTTTACGCAGGTTGCACCAGTGAGCTTTTGCACGGGGATTGCATGTTGGAGGTGGGGCCACTGCACATGCATTGGTGACTTTTGCAGGAGACACTTACAGAAGTTGCACCTACCCACAGCCACATATGGGCTGGGAAAGGGATGTCTCTGTTTTGCCACGCTTTCCCCACTTAGGAAACACAAGCTGCTGCGCCAAACTCCCTCACTTCCTCTCACGGGGCCCCATTTAAGGCTTCCATGGTGGCATCTGTTGCTCCCAAGCTGTGACTTTGTGTATGGGAGAGTTGCGGGACTGATTCATCAGGCCTCTCTGTTCTGGACACAGAAGCTTATGCCAATGCCCAGCCAATAATTGCCAAAGAACACACTGCATAAAGACTCCTCCAAAAATGCAATAATTAGCTTGGACCCTGGGAAGTTGGAGGAGGAACAAAACGTAGCCAGAATCTGGAACTTGTTTTCCCACTTGTGTTCATATAACAAATCCCCAAGAAAAAGGAAACAAAAGTAAATGACTTACAAGCAGTAACGCAATCAAGGTATCAAATTAGGGCTGCCATAATCCAGAGCAGCACAAGATGGCAGCAAGAAGCTAATTTTCCATCTCTTTCTGCTGCCATCTAGCGGTTTCCAGATATCTGCACTTCGGGTTAGTCTTCCCCAGAAATAAAAAAAGATCGAGCCTGGAACTTTGAGAATAGATGCACAACACCTGTTCAAGCCTAGCCCTGAATCCTCTGAAACTGTGTGAGGCGGTGTAGCAAAGAAAAGCGAGTGTTACTCCTACGGAGGGTTAGCTAACCTATGTGTGGGAGGGAAAACCCCTGAGGAGGAGGAGGAGAGAGGAAGCCACACCTTTTTAAAAGGGAGCTATTTCCAAGTCAGCTCAGACCTGAAGAAAAGAACTAAAGGCTGTTTCTAGAGTAAATCCTGTCCTGGCTAAAACGACAAATCAAAATTATGGAAAGTAGCTTTCAAGGCACGCGGGCTAAAGAGAGCTGGAGCACCCCCTGCATCAGGGGGGCCCTCTCGATCCAATCTCCTGGCTCAGAGCAATGACAGTTGCCGCCAAGGGGAAGCTGTGAGGGAACCAGGCCTGCTCTCACCTGGCGCTTCAGAAGGGGAGCTTCTACCCTGAGCCGTCCACTCAGCACAAAGGCTAACCTGGTCACCAGCAGCAGATAACCTGCCCTGGAAATTCAAAATGATGGCAGCAGGTCAACCCTACGAATCTGAAGGGAGCGAAATATGCCGAGTGCCCTCCAACGCAAATATACATCAGCAACGGTGGTGTCCGTTGGCAGGCCTTCAAAAAAAATAAGACCAAACCTACAGGCAGCCCTTGGTGTTGTTTACTTTGGAACAGTAGAAACACACTCTAAAATAATATATTGCTATAAGACCAACTTCATCTCTAACATGCCAAAAACATTATCCCACAAGCTTGCAGCAAAGAACAGCTGCTTGCACCCATGTGAAATACCGCCTTAGAGACGTGTTCAACTCCTTCCAACCTCCTAATTAGCACTTCTTCTTTTATCACTGTCTTTTTATGCATTTTCATGCTCTGTTCCCCGATGAATAATATTTCATTCCTGTATCGCTTATAAGCTTATAGTCTGAACCATGTATTTGTACTGTCTGAACAGACTATTGTCTTTTAGCTTTTTAAGCCACTTAGATTTGCTTGACTGAGGCAGCATAAAAGCAGATACAATCAGTCAATCAATCAATTCTAAGCAAAAGTTCCTATAGGGACTAATGGCTCACCCAGCGCTTCAATTGCTCTTTCATCTCCTGAGAAATGCTGACATGTGCTAGTGAGCCCTTTACAATTTTTTGTACATGGTAATGGTTGCACTTTCTTTCAGGAAAAAAAATGCTGTAAGGATTACTTTCATTGGTTTTGTTATAGTTATTTATGGTCCCAATCCTTTCCAGGGAAAAGAAAGTGCAAGGAAAAAATTCTTTGGTAGGGCTAATTATTTATTTCCATATTTCTCTATTGCCCTAACTAAACCTAACAAGCTTCTTGTCCCTTTTTAATTTTATTGAGCTATATGCGAATTTTGACTTTGTGCACCTGCCTTTTACCTGTTACAGAATCAGGATGTGAATCTGACTTCTGAATGTGGTTACTCCCTAAGAAAACTCAGGGGGATGTAAAATGAACACAAAGGTCACTTCCACCCTAAAAGGCTGTGTCATAAGTTTGGAGAAAGAAGAGAAGGGAAAATAAATTTCTCAACTTCTCTTAAAAAAGGGAAAGGAGGGCACCTGAGGCCAATTGGAAAGTCTTATTGTGAAGCATCCATTTCCAATCCTCTTTCTCGAGGGATGATTCTGGAAGAGTCACATGGGCATCATTCTCTCTTAAGCCTGAGCAGAAAGAGCCACCCATGGAAACACCAAGAATGGGACTCTTCTTCTTGGCCAGCTCCACCCGTGGGGGACCCAAGTGGGCCTGCTTAGCGGAGTGGGGATCCGCCAAGACATGAAGGAACCTGAGATGCAACCTGTGCCAGGTCTTCACTTCCCGACTCTCAGCTGAAGCAGCATGAGGAGGACAGAGGCCGCAGGGAGGCAGATTGCAAGGGGACACTCTATTGCCTTAAGCAGTGAGCGGTGACCGCAGAACAGGGGAGCGGTGTGATTCTCTCAAGCCCTTTCCACTGTGAGGTCTGGCTGGCTGGACAAATCCTATGGACCTCAACCCTCCTTGCTGGGGCTTCCCTGAACACAGGAACCGATGGCCCCGACTTTAACCGGAGAAAAGCCCTTCCAACTACCAAGACACTCTCCACAGGCGAACCGTTTTGCAAATAAACAGAGAGTAATGGCCACATTCAGTAGATGCTTCCTCTTGAGTTCCTCCTGTCCAACACAGTGTCCGCTGTGCTTCAGTATCAATGACAGAAACAGGAAACAGGAAAGAGGACGGGGTTTACTGGTCAACGGGGCAAGGCAGTGGCTGATGGAGCAAACCGAACACGGGACCCATCTCTTCTGATGCTGCAGAAAATACGCTCCCATCACCAGAGCGGGAATGAGACTTGGCTCAAAGGGACAAGGTGCCTCTGAACCTTCACACAGGCAGCCGAAGGGGCGGGCCCAGTCTGAGCTAATGAAATCAAGGGCTTCTCCCAAAGGGGCGATGGATTGGCACGGGTGGCCACGAAATGCTTCCGGCTACTCTTCTCCCGCTGTACTGAAAGGACAAGAAGATGACGCGGCATCACACGTTCTGCCAGCAAGCGAAGGCGCAGGATGCTTGCCGTGCTTTCTGAGCAGGGGCTGCCGGGTCTGCTCACGGGTTGCGAGGTCCGAAGGCCAGAGGCGGGGCTGAGGAAAGCGACGGGGGAGAGGGAGCAAAGCCACAAGGACAACCTGCCGAGCCCGTAAGGGGAACGATGTTATGGAGCCCCTAAACTTTAAGGCCCTGGGCCAGAACTGCCTGGGATCAAGGGCAGAAGATGCTTCCCTGGTTCCAGTCAAGGACTTGGACCCGAGCAGGGGAATAGCCCTTCTGAGTGGCAGAGCAGCCACGGAGGACCCAGGGGGACCCAGGAGAGACCCTGATGAGGAGGCCACGTCCCCCAGGAGCCTGAGGTGCAATCCACGCCTCCTGGTGCTTGGAAGGGTGGCGCACCCAACAGGCTTCATGGCTCAGAAACCAGAAATCTTGCTTGGAAAGAGGCTCACTGAGAAATCCACCGGGGCCAAAAAAGAACACCACCCTGTTTCTGAAAAACTACGTTCCAAGATGCCGCCTCTAAGTTGCTGCCCTTTGGGGGCTACAGACACAAAGGATACATGGAAATGGGCTGCCTGGAAGTTGGAAGAGAGGAATGGGTGACAAAGAAATGTGGGGGAAGGGAGGGAAAAAACTGAGCTGGTGAGGAGTAAGGATCGAGTAACAGTCAGAACCCGGGAAGCATTAAATGCTACCAATTCCAGCAGCACATCCGCTCCCCACTTCCTGCACCCTCCTAGCTGCCCCGTGCCCTGTTTTTCCTAGAGGTCGCCCCCCACTGCTTGCCTTCACATCAGGCTCCTCCTGTACTGAGGCAGCAGCAGACTCTGGGCGGGCGCAGGCCGTGAGAGCCGCAGCTGCTGATAGAGGTTCCTCAGTTCTCTCACCTCCTGCAGCACTTTCTGGGCTTGGCTCCAGTTGGAGGAGGCCTCACCCAGCAGCCTCTGGATCTCCTGCAAGGTGGCCGCCGAGTCCAGCTTGGGCGAGGAGGGGGCACAGGTGGGGGGGGCAGCCAAGGCCGAACCGAGCTCCTGTGCCTTTTGCGCCTCTCCCCCGTAGCCCCTCGCTTCCGTCAGCAGGCCCTGCGTCTTCTCCAGCTGCAAGGCCACCAGCTCCTGTATCCTGGCCAGTGGCTCAGGCCCAGGGGAAGCCGCTTGGTCCTTGAGGCCGGTCCACAGGGACGCCTGCCTGGCTGAGGAAGAGTCCCAGCAGCAGAGGATTTCTTCCATAGAGGCACATTTGTTCTTCTCCAAGGGAGAGAGCTTCTTGGGGACCTGAGGGGTGTACATGGTCCCTTTGCCAAAGGCCGCCCTGCGAGCTGAGAACTTCTCCCCAGGCACGTTCTTCTTCCGTGGGAGGCTCTTGCTCTTCTCCGCGTCGTTGACGTTCTCTGAACCTGAGCGCCTTCGGCCAGGGGTGAAAGGGGGAGCGGATTTGTCTAGATCCACCTGGAAACTCTTCTCGCAGGTGTCATGGTCTACTGGGGAGGCCTCCTCCTCCTGGATCAAGTCCAGGGTCAGCATCCCGTCAGAGGTTGAGGTAGATGCCTGCAAAGGCAGGGAAAGTATGGGAGTGGAGAGCCAGTGTGAAAAAACGGCGCAAACCCTAGGGCGCAAAGAATCATGGAAAACGGATTTTGACACAAAACTAGATCTTGGTACTAGTTTACGTATCTCGTTGCCTGGCTGTTCAGCTCCAGCAAGGCCCAGCTGAATCAACTGAGTTGGCGTAGCCTTCCTGGGGCCGTCCAGCCTTTGGTGACTCGAAAAGCGTCGTGAGAGGAAAGGCGGACCCATCCCAGCCCCACCCCCACCCCGCCCCACCCCGCCTGCCTCCCCTCTCTCGGGAGAAAAGCAGAGAGGCATGCAGCTATCCGAAGGGGCAGCAGCGGCAGCAGCTCGGGCGGCTTTGCTGGCTGAAGGGGAGTCTGCTCCCTTCCTCCCCTGCACTCACCACGGCCATCAAGTGGCCCCTGGTCGGAGGCCGCCTGGAGTGCTGGATCTTCGCTCTGTTCCGTGTGGGATGGGCGAGAAAGCTGTCCTCCTCCACGGTCACCTGGAAAGGCCCACCAACAACCACAGCGTGAGGCATACAACCCACCTGCTGCCACTAACTGGAGGTTACTTGATACATCGTGCGAATGGCTTAACTCCCAGGGGAAATAGTTTCCCATCGACCCATCTCTATATCCAACAGTTCAGACCGCAGCTCTCCGGCATATTCCTCCCAATCAGCTGACATATTGCTATGGGAAGGGAAGTAAAGGCTACCTCCTCTGGTAGAGGGCCCAGACTCAAATAAAGAGCATTTCATTGGGTAATTGGCGAGTTCCCTATGCGGCAAGAAGAACAATTAAAAGTATCCCTGAATAAAAGCAAGAACTTGCATCTCCAAACCATATTCTCCCCCATCTACTTTATCCTCTCTTAAGCCATCAGTTGCCCGGGGTGGGGGTGGGGGTGGGCCTCTTCCCTCCCCGTTCAGGCCAGGGATCCTGCTGGTCCACCCTGGCCCCTCCGCTCCCCCCCCCCCCCCCTGTCCCCCCCCCCCCCCCCCCATCCCTCGCTCTTTGGCTCCGAGACTGTAAAGAATCGGGGGGACGTATTCCAAGGCAGCTACAGGTCTGTTTCGGTTGTTTTCCACTTGTGACTCTTTCATTTGAACCCACAAGAGAAACAATCAAGAGGGAACCCAGCCCGGCTTTGCTTCCCTCTCTGCCTTGAACAACCCTTAACATGATCTTTCTCACCTCACAGATCTTTCTCCGTTTTGACAGGAAAAACAAGGACCCCTCCTATTCTTCTGCCCCTCCTCTACAGACCATAAGGGGTTCCTGATGACCCCTTTTCTAAATTTACCCCCCCCCACAAATCTACTCCATTGCCCTCTGTTGTCCCCTCCCCCCTTTATTTTCCCTGCCCCCAGTTTTACTTTAGACAGAAAACCGTTCACAGATCCGAACAGGGCCTCCTCTTACGGCACAAGGAGCATCTCCCTAGTCATAAATCTCTGCAGGAACATCCCTGCGCCTCTCTTCTCTCTCCTGTCTGGCTGCAAACCTGGTGATAGGATTATTGCCGGATTAAAGAAAGGGGAAATCTCTCCTTTGCTTTCTTTACAGAAGAGTGAGATCCCGAATGAACTAAAAAGTGACTGATGTTCCTCATCATGTAAGATGGATCACGAGGAGCAGGGAAGTCGACTCGGACCTCCTGCCACCTTTAACCGGGACACTTGAGAATGGTCCCCCTTTCAAGAAATGAGACCCAAAGCAAGCAGGGCCTTTGCCCTGTCCCGCAAAAGAACAGGGAAGAAAAACCAGTCTGGGTGAGCTGCACCTGCCACAAACGATTCCCACGACTGCAAGCAAACAAAAGGGTTGGGGTCTCTCTCCTGCACAGCTTTGAGCTCCTCCTACCCTGCCCCAGATGCAGACTTTGGAAAGGTCCACTCAGCCTGTGGGTGAGGAGAGACCCACTCAAGAGCCAGGCTGCTCACCTCGTCCAAGATGCGGTTCTTGGCTCGGATGATGGCAGAGTTGAGCACATTGATCCAGGATTCCTTTTCTTCGGGGCTCACGGCCAGGAAGACGAGATTGGGTGCCTGAGAGAGATGGAGGCGTCATCGGCAACCAAGGAGACACTTACCCGTCTCACTTGGCTCTGCTGTCCTTCATAAACTCGGTCCAAGACAACATCTGGCAACATTTGCAGCTCTGGGTTGAAGGAGGAAACAATGACCTCCTCTCCATTGCTGCCTTACAATAGCCTGCAGCCGCTTCTCCCGGACATCCATGGTGTGTGTGTGTGTGTGTGTGTGTGTGTGTGTGTGTGGCACTGGGACTGCAGTGCCTGAGGGCAATGGGAGCCTGCCAGGACCAAGGCACCTGCCACTTTTTGTGAGGTGGGCAGCCAGATCAATACGACGCATAGATAGATAGAACAAAATAGATTGGGGGACCCAGAGAGGAAGGCTGCTCTAAGCAGGGACCTGGTGGCCTGCAAGACCCAGAAAAAAAACAGTGCGGCGCCTCCTCCTCCTCCTCCTCAGAAGCTGGGACTGGCTAGCCCCAAGGCCGATGGTCCGGGAGTGAGATCAAGGGGAGCAAGTCGCCTGAAGGTCCCAGGTGGGCCTTGGGCTGCATCGCTTCACAAGCCTCCAGGCGAAGCTGCTGCGAACAGACCCCTTTCTAATCAGGGGAAATGCTATCGAAATCCCTACTGATGGCCCAAGAAGCAGAAGAAACAGCCAGGCTGCCTCGGTCTGAACAGCAGGCACCACTGGGGGAGGGAAAGGAAAACCCGGTTCAGCCCTCCAGTCCAGGGTTACCTGCTGCTGCGTCACTCCCTGAAGAAGCTGCTGCTGCCACCGCCGCCGCCGCCGCCATTGGGCTCAGCCAGCAGCTGCTCTCCTGCAGGCTTCCTGGGCTGCCCACCCACAGGCAGAACCCTTGGTCCCTCAAGCAAGGGCTGGGCTGCTCAGCCAGAAGGCAGGCCGGGGGGGCGGGGGGGGGGAAGCTTACGGTGTTGCCGGGCTCCTTGGAGTGGGCGAGGGAGAACTTGCTATAGTTTTTTTTGCTTCTGCTTTTGGACTTCCTGAGCTCCTCACACTTCTCGTAATCGTTCAAGTCAAACACCTCCTGGATATTTTTCTCATCTCGGAGCTGCGGACAAACAGATCACAGGTTTACAAGGGCAGACCCCCACCAAGGAGATCGAGAACACAGGCATGAAAACGGACTCTTCCCCCCATTGAGTTTGGAGAGCCCCTCCATCGCCACAGAACACCGGGAAGTTTTTCTTGGCCGGGACAACCTTCTTACCTTCTTAGCAACAAATCCTACAGATTTGCCACTGGGGAAAAGGAACCTAATTTCTCAGAACACTAATTAACCTAGGAAGGATAAATGACAGGGAATCTGAGCTGCCTGCCTAGTAAGGTTTAATGGGATTCGAGCTGGTATCAAGTTTGTATTAACTAAAAGTTTCAAGAAGAGCCGTGTTGAGTCACGCGGGCTGCATCACAGACAGCACCGCTATGCTGGCAGAGGCCCTGCCTCTTCCTGGGCAAGAATGAAGGGGAGGACACTTCTTCCCAGAGTGGTGATCATTAGTTAAAAACAATGAGCATTTTCCCCTTTTGTTTTTCAGAGTAAAAGCAAAAATTAAAATTTCCCCTCTAAAGAAGCTCTTGTTCTGCCTCCAGTTGTGCTGCGCAAAATTCCCTCCAGAGTCCTGCACAGGGCACCCGCGAGGGGGTAAGAGGGGCCGCTCCAGGTAGCCTGGGGAGAATCAGATCCACCCCAGGCTGCACACAGACCGGTAGGAGCTCAGCCTCCCCTCCCCCCCCCAGCTCCCTTCCAGCTGATCGGGCGGGAGGCCTGCTATCCAATGACTTGCAACCGGAGCCATCTTGGGTCATCACCTCCCCGCATGGCTAATGCCACCTTCCTTTTCCTACCAGACAAGCCGTTGTTCAGGTTCAGGGTAATTAAATGCTGGAGTGTCTCTTTTGTGAAATCTAAGCAATTTCTTTGACTTTGACCCCAGCTCAGGAGTTTAGGTTCGCCCGGATATTACGAGTATGATAAATAACGGGTAACAAACAATGTAAGTGAATAATAATATTAGCTCATCGGCATCTCTTGTCCCACAGGCCACTCAGCCGCTCTTTCGCCTCCATTCATTGATGGTGCATCCCAGGGCGCTTACATCAAAACAGGAGGCTGGGAGTGGGTGGGTGGGAGCGGGGAAAGAGGACTGATCCATTCCCTTAAATGTGTGAAGCTGAATAAACGGGAACAATGAGGGGAAAAAACAACTAATTTCTGGATCTGCCGGGAAGGACAGATCTGAAGGAAGCAGCCTTTGCTTCCTCCTCATCTGGAATTAGGATGATGTGAAACTTCCAAACGATATTTGAGCACCAAAAGTTTGTATTAGAAAGTGACTATTGCAAAGAACAAATAGCAACACAAACCTAACGTCAGGGAACAAGTTTTTAAGCAACAGATATTCACATCTCCAAGGCCATTCGTTTTCATAAGAGCCAGTGGAAAAATAATAATTTGCATGTAGCCTGTACTTTCCCCCAAAGCCACCAAACAGAGAAATCCTAAAAACAAATATGCAATGCCAGAAAAGGCGGAATGAAGGCAAAAGGCCCGTCCCTTTTGGTCAACCACCATGGAAACCCTCCCAAACTTTCAGGGAGGAAGGGGAGAAGAGAAACCGGGGGGGGGGGGGGGGGGGGGGGGGCGGGTCCTCTGGCAGCTGAGACAGCCGACCGGCCTTGCTCCAGTTCCTTTCAGGCGAGCCTGCTGAGGGATCTGGGATGGTTCTTGGCCAGAGCCCAGCCGAGTCTGCAGCCTGTAAAGGCTCGGCTCTTTCCGCAGGTGGCTACGGGGCTCTTGTAGCAGCAGCCCAGCCCCAGAGTTGGCAACCAGAACAACCCCCTGCTCCAAACGGTGTCCAAACCCTACACGGCGCCCACGTGCCAGGGCAGGGACTGCCTCCTAGGTGCTGAGCACCAGCCAGCCAGTTCAGACAAAAAACAACATTTGAGGAGAAGGAAGCAACTGACCAGCCGGGGGAGCTAAGCCCAAGCCCTTCCTCCTGCCTGTGGGCCTCCCAGGGCTGAGGGGAGGCCACGAAACGCCTCCCAGGGCTGAGGGCAGTCCATCGCTCCCTGACCCCCCACCCCCCACCCCGGGCTCACGATGTCTCCTTGCCGGTTCCAGCCTGGGCCACGAGACCTGAACCCCAGGAATCAGCTCCTGGCAGGTTCTGGCCAGGTCAGGGTCAAAGGGGCATTTTGCCAATGAATTTGCCATCAAGCTTTGAGGGGCAATGAAAGGAAAGTGAAGCCGCCTCTTCCGCCTCAACTCCCCCTTTCATCAACCAACTACCAAATGAGCAGAATCTGAGCGGAAGAATCACATAATTCAGACCCCCAAACTGCAGGTTGTGGGGGGGGGGGGAGGAGAAAGCAAAGCGAAGGCTCGGCTAAAGAAGCAGGATATGAGCAACCTCTTACCAACCTCCTTCTCTGAGATGTAAAGTTGGTCACCCTTCAGCACCACAAACCGATTTTTCCAAATCTCTCGAAAAATGCCTTTCCCACAGAATTTCCGGACCCAGCCCACCTTCTCGGGCTGCAGCAGTTGCTGGTTCCCCTCCTGGAACCCCTGCAATCCACAAATAAAGGGAACAAAGGGAGGGGGAGACAAGCGGGGGGGGGGGGGAGGAGGAGGGCGGGAGAGAAGCGGTTAAGAGGAGGATGGGGGGGGTGTCTCTGGCCTGCCCCCTGCCAGCACCTTTCCCCTGGCTCAGAAAGCTCTCCCGTGTCCCCCCCCCTGTCCCCCGTTCCCCCCCCCCGCTGGCCCCGTCCTTTCCCCAAAGCTTCCCAAAGCACCTGGGAACTGCGCCCCTAGATCAGCCTGACAGGAGAGTGGTGGCTTTTCAAAAAAAAACACTACCACAATTACAAAGGAGACAAAATGATGTAAGGCGAATAAATAAATAGAATGAAAACGACGCTGCCACCTGCTTTCTGTGAGAAGTAGGCTGGGATCCATCTGCTCGTGGCCCAGTCAGCATTTCATAATCGCGATGGTGGAGCCTGCTCTCTCAGAGATTCAGACTAAAACCGTATCTATGTTTCGCAAGCAAATGTTTTCCAATTTCTCTCTACGTTTCTAATCTCTCTCTCTTCATCTAGGGAAGTGAAAAGGAAATCCACACCAATAACACGAGGCATGCTTCTAAATTAATGCAAACAGAGCCTTAATAATGGAGACCCTCCGCTTGGCGATGGCATCGCTGGAAAGGCTGAATGATCGGAAAGCAAAGACAAGTAGATTCTGGGGTGGGGGGAAGGAAGGGCAGGAAAGTTGGAACAAGACTGAGGACCCCCATCGCCCACAGACCCAACAGAGAAAGTGGACAATAAACAATGCCAGGAAAAGGCCCGGGGGGGTGGGGGGGGCGGGCTACCCAGAAAGCAGAAGAGACTCACCCGTTTAGCCGAATTGGTTTTTTTCATCATTCCTCAATGCAGCTGTCCAGAAGAGGGAGAAGGGGGAAGGGGGAGAGAGAGTATGCTGGGAGGGGGGAGGGGGGGGCAGAAAAAAAAAACAAAAAACGGAGTGGGTCGTTGCCGGGCAGAGAACTGAAAATCTGTGCCGTTATTGGGAAGGGGGGGAAAAACGAATCTCTCCGCCTTAAGGGAAGCGCAAGGGAGTTCCCATGACCTGGAGGCAGAATTTGCCCCTGCGATGCCCACGCATCTCTGCAGGCAGAGGGACCCCCAGAAACCCCCTCCCCTGCTCAGTCTTCTCCTCCTCCTCCTCCTCCTCCTCCTCCTCCTCTTCCTTTCTCTCGCCTGGGCATGGAGGGACAGGGTTCGCCTGGGCTCCACAGCACCACCTATAGCCAAACAAGCCGTGACGTTTTCACAAGGAAAGAGGCAGACGAAGCTGGGAGGAGGGAGGGAGGGAGGGAGGGAGGGAAAGAGACCCCTTTGTGTCAGTTGGCGGGGGAGAGAGAAGAGAGCTGGGGGGGGCGCGGGGGGGGGGGGAGGCAGCAGGGCCAGAAAGGCCCAAGGAGCGGGCCCCAGGGAATTGGCAGAGGCGCAAGCAAAGCAGCCCAGGCACGGATGCCCTCTTTTTGGCACAGTCCTTCCTGAAATGAGTTTATGCTCACTCAGAGACCCGGCACGGCCCCGGAAGGAGACCAAAGTGGCCCTGCTGAGAGAAATACCTCCATTTGGTGAACTTGGTTAGGAGCGAAAACGGCACCCCAGCTGCCACATCTAACCAAGGTCTTCAGCAGGCAACAGGTTCAAGAAAATGACAAAGGAGGAGAGAGAACGAAGCGGCGTACAAAGGACACCGGGACTACAGCAGGCCTGGGAGAAGATGGCAGCCTGCTGCTGCCAACAGGGTGCCAAAGACACCGGGAGCAAAAGAGGCAGGCGGCCGCTTGGGGGGCTTCGAGGGGGCTGGGCAGGAGTGCCAGGCGGTCGGGAGTGGAGAGCTTGGGGGAACCCATCCTGCAGAGCAAGAAAAGATCCTGCACGGAGGGCTGGAGCTGGGAGCAGGGCCGCCTTGACAGGCAGAAGTTTACAGCTTTCTAGAGCTGCCCATGCAGTCGGGCACGGACCCCTGTGCACAAACCCACCGTAGCCAAGACCTGCGCCCCATGGGGGGGGCACCAAGCACCCTCCCTCCAAGCAAGGCATCTCGGACCCACTTCTGGCTTAGCATGATTTGCCCAAATGGCAAAGGACTCTCCTTGTTCCATGTCCGCCACCAACTTGCCAACATGCCGCCCCTTCCCACTGTGGCTGACTTGTTTAAGCCATCCATTGGTGTATCTTGCCTGCCAATGCACAGGCTGACAACCCTTGGAGCCCGCTGGCCTCCCCTGGCTGGATGCAGCTTTGGGGAAGGAGACACACGTGCGCACACGCACACACACAGCACCGGCTCCTCCTGCTTAGCAGCTGATCTCTGGTTAAGAGTGGCTGGCACTGTCACAAGAGGCAGGCCCACAATGCCAGCCTGGTGTAGCGGTTAAAGCATCAGGTAGAAACCAGAGACCCTGAGTTTGAGTCCCACTTCAGGTAAGGCGCCAGCTGGGGATCTCTGGGCCAGTCAGCCCTCTCTGTCCCAGGAAGCAGGCAATGGCAAATTGCTTCTAAAATCTTGCCAAGAAGACTGCAGGGACCTCTCCGGGCAGTGGCCAGGAGTCTGCACTGACTTGAAGGCAGGCACACAAACACACACCTGGCCATAATCCACCTGCTCTTCCAACTGTAGACACGGCAGCCTTGTTTTTAACCCATAAACAGCTTCCTGCCTTGTTTGGAGCCTTGACCAGCACTAGCACTAAAGCAACAGCAAAAGCGAGCAAAGTGTGTGGCAGCAGCTCGCACCCAACAACGGGATGGAAAAAGAAATGGGGAGAACCCCCCCACACCTGCCTGATTGCACCCAGTTAAACCATCAAGGGTGCTGAAGCCAGAGGAGGGGCAGTCGGGTTGACAGACGAGTGACCTCGAGGAGGAGGAGGAGGATAGGCAATCCCCTCCTTGGGGTTTTTCTCCCGGAACAGCCATATCACCTGGGTTGCAATTATTACGGCCATCAGCTCCACAAACCCCCTTCTGCGTATCTGGGCCAGAGGGAAACGGAGGCCAGAGGGAAACCTAGGTCTGACTCAGAGCAGGATGGCAGCCATCTTGACTTATGCCGAGGAGAGGTGCAGAGCGGCCTTGGGGGAAGCGCTTGGGGAGCCTGCTTGGCGTCCATGAGATCCAGGCGCACCAGCGTCTTTCTATCTGTCCTGATGCCCCTCCCGGAGTCCTGGCATAGACACGGCCTTTCCTCTTGCCAGAGCTCCTGGGAGGCGGGGAGGGAGACAACTGCAGAGGTCCCCGTCCGCCCTGGAATAGGGGCCCCTGAGCAGGTGCTCCATGGCAGAAGTCCTTGTTAGCAGCCGCTATCATAGGCATGGAAGGCGACGCAGCCCAGCAGGTGCCCCAAGGAAAGTCCTATTGTCCTATTGCTAGCCTGGCACAAAGAGGCTGCCATTAGGAACGCCCGTCATTAAACAGGCAAAAGCTTCAGGGAACTGCCATCAAAAGGATGGAAATGCCTTGTCTTGACTGGCAGCAGAGCCCTGCGCAGGCGGAAAGTGGGCCGCAGAAGACAGGCTGGCCGTGGAGCTTCTCTCCCCCCACAAGAGGACACGCGGGATGTGTGTGTGTGTGTGTGTGGGGGGGGTTAATGCTCAGTCATGTGACCAAAAGAGGGGGCTCATTTATTTATCTAAATTATAAATTATTCTTAAGCAACCCAATTCTGGGCAGCTTACAAAAGGAATGAAAAACCATACAGCTCGTCTGTGACTTGCAACCGTTCATTTACTGACCGCTCAGTTACCTGGCACTAGTGAAAATAGTGACTCTTTTTCACACTTAACGGCCGTTGTAGCATCCCACCGGTCACGTAATCAAAATCCAGACACTCGGCAACTGACTTGTGTTTATGACGGTTGCAGTGTAGAAGGTCACATGGGACCTTCTGACAAGCCAAGTCAATGGGGGGAAGGCAGGTTCACTTAACAACCGGGGCAAGAAATGTTGTAAAATGGTGCACAACTCACTTAACCACGGTCTTGCCTAGCAACAGAAGCGTTGGGACCAGCTGTGGCCTTAAGTCGAGGACCCCTGGGAAAGCCAAAGCCTCTCTGTTTTTGCCTCAGCCACTCATTTGGGGAAGGCAGGGGGCGCTGCCTCTTGAGCCTTTGCCAGATCGGCTCCCCACAGACAAAGGGGGGACTGCTGTGGACACGGAGGCTGTGAGGCTAGGGACCGGGGTGCACAGCCACCTCTCCTCTGATCCCACCAAAAAACCTGGCCCCACGCGTGACTCCGAGGTCCCCGGCGGTGCCTCCTCCCTTCCCTCCACGCCTCCGTTCTCTGGCTCTAGCGGATGCTTCCAGAAAGAAGGGCCTAACTTGAAAACAAGAAAAAGAGGGAGGGAATTGCCATCTGCTTCATTAGGTCTAATCATTAACAGTCAAAATTCCAGTTCTGATTATAGCCAATTTAAAAAGATGAAATGTTGTGTCGGAAAGAGAACCTAACCTGCTCACATGGGGAGTTTCCCGAGTTGGCAGGCTGAGGAGGAGAACAATGGGACTCCTCGAGGCTGAGTGACTTCCTTCCCGCCATCTTGTCTTCCTGCAGCAAACATCACGGGGCAGGGTTGGGCTCTCCGCTCAGCTCCTATGGAAGCCCTTTCAGGAAAATCTGGGCTTGCCCACACATGGGCCATTGATGGCTTCTCCTCCTCAAATCTATTAATCTCAGGTGTTTTGCCCCACCCCTCCCCCATACGCAATGACAAATAGTTAACAAGAATTCTGGTCAAGCTTTGGTCCCTGGACTGGGACCTCCACACCCCTCACCTCTGGCTGTCCTGGAAGTTCCTGTCCAAGGAGACCAGAAGGACCAACTCCCTCCCATCCGAGTCGTCAGACCTACCCAGGGCCAAACACTGGAAGGCTTAAAAACCCTCCAATGCCCCCCTGCTGGTGCCAGAGCTAACACAAAGCTTCTAATTACACCCACACCCACACAAAACTGAAGAGCAAGAAATCAGAAACTCCCAACAGGAGCAAGTCTGAAATACAAACGAGTATGTGAAAAACCCAGCCCCGCATTGGAGAGGGTGCCAAGAATATCCTGGGCCCTCTTGCAGCCCACAGCCAGCTCTCCAGGAGGCCTCCAGGTTGTCTTCCACAAGCAACCCCCATTCTCCGTCCGGCCAGCCAGCAGCACTTCCAGAGATATGCACTCACTTCAAATAAGAAACCCAGATGGTCTCTGCCACAGTGACCTTTTATTCACCTGGGGGGACTCGGAGGCCCACTTGGCAGCTCCCAGACCAGGAGGCAGACAGCAAGCTGAGAACTGACCACGAAAGGGAGATACACCAGAGAGGGAGGGAGGGAGGGAGAGGGAAAAGAGCCACGGTTTCCATCCCGTCCGTGCTGCCTGGCTGTAATAGGTGAAGGGAGGCCTCGGGGTGATCTTCTGCAGCACTTATCCAGGAGACCATGGCCAAACGTGGAGCTCAGCAAGCACTGAACCACATCGGACAGGTTTCGGTCTGAGAGGGCTAAGGAAGAGCCAGTGGCAGTGCTGCCGGTGGCCACCTCAGTTCAGCCGCCTGGCTGCAGCCTGGGCCATCCCCTGAGAACCCTCGGCGCCTCGTCCTCGGAAGCCAGCGGCAGACACTTCGTCCAGGAAGCTGGAGAAGACAGAGAGACACCAAGGGAGAATTAGAAGCAAATGAGCTGTTCCTCACCAGCTGGCTCCAAAGGCCAATGTCTGGGTTGGGCCAAGGGGGCAGGATTTGGGCCAGAGAGGGCAGATGGGGGCCAAAGGCACGCGGACGGAAAGCAGAAACAAGGGCGCGTTTGCATCGAGGTTTTGAAGGCATCCCTGCCTCGACACCCCTGAAGCTGAGAACCAAGCAAGGAAAGTAGGACCTGCTAAAGGGACCGCAGGCAACGTGCTTCCGTCCCCGTCCCCGTCTCCAAGCCCCTTCCCCTCGCCTGGGGACTCTGCCTGGGGCATGGTGAGCACAGCAGACTTGGGCAGAGGGATAAGGAGCAGAGCAGGAGCCACCCCCAAGTTCCAAAAGATGACGAGAAGAAACTTGCAGGCTTCAGAAATGACGTCTGAGGCCACTTTGCAAAAAGAATATCTGAAGTACCTCAGATTTGCTAAGTTCAGCAATGCTCCTGCTAGAGAGTGCTGCTGAAAGGAGACAGGGCTTTCAGCCTGAGAGATCCTCTCTGGTCCCCTGGCTGAGGCTCCAGGCCAGAAACTGGGGGGCCATCAGCCCCATGGAGGAAGGGGAGGAGGAGAAAGCAGCAGCAAGGGCAAACCGCTTCCAAAAACAGTGCCAGGAAAACGGCACAGACCCATCCGGGCACTTCCTAGAAGCCCGGACTGACTTGGAAACATGCACACACTCTCTTGCACAGAGTTTGCATTTCCCTAATGATTGGTAAGATTTACATCTCACCTTGATTCTACCTTTGGAACATCAGCTATGTGAGGGTAGTTAAACTGAGAGAGCAAAGAGGGATCCAGGAGGGATTTCCACGACTGAGTCTCCCTATTCCGACCTCAACTGCTTTTTCAGCCTGGCTCGGGAAAGGCGGCCACACCCCCAACAGATAATGGAAACCAAGTCTTTTGGTGCAGGAATGGGGGGCGGGGGGGTGGGGACCCAACCAGGCACCTCTTCCTCTTTCACCCACCAACCCCAGAATTTTCCTGTCTAAAACCCGCAGAGCAATGGAAGGCAAGGCAGGCATTTGACTCGGAATAAAAACCAAGCCTCCACCTGAATGTCTCCCGTGGATGTGGCCTCCCTGCCTGAAGCTCCCCAGAGTTAGACGCATTCTTGGAACATCCCACACGGACTTAATTCATCTTTCTGGATGTCAACCATTTTGGGGAACTCCCTCTGAACACAAGAGAACCCAAATAAGCTCCAGGGAGGGAGGGAAGGCGAGAGAGCCCCCCCCCCCCCCCCCCACCCCCATGCCCTGTTCCTGAGCTTTCCCTCTGGTGCACAGGAGAGCGGCCAGCCCTCCGCTTGCCTGCCACTCTCTCCAGGACACAGGCAGGGAGCCCCTTTTCTCCCGCTCTCCCCACCATTTCTCACTCCTCAGGAAACTGCCCCTGGAAAGGGGTCACCAGGAGGCAAAGGCCGAAGCCGCGGGGGACCTTTGGCCCTGAAAGCAGCAGGGCCAGCAGCTCTGACCACCCACTGCGGACCTCAGCGGCTTTTCACCGACTTCTGCCACTAGGAACTAGCTCACTCACTTTAAGCCGGCTGGTTGTGCCCCAGTGCAATTTTTCACCCCCAAATCACACCTGTAATTCAAAAGCACACCCGAGCCAAAAACTGCCTGCTGACTTCTGAGAGTTCAAAGCCTTTTCTCCACCACAAGAGGTGCTAAAGGAACTATTTTGGAGATCCTGGGGAAGCTTTCCCCCCCTTTGTTATCATCTCTGCAGAATCACCGGGAGATGGGAGTCTGTTGGACTGGGGACCAGTCAATGAAAACCAGAGCTTCGCCAGCACTCCCTTGTTAAGGAGAAGGGAAAAGACACCCGGTTAAAAAGGACGGCCACGGCTCTGCCCCACCTTCAACCCACCTCCTGGTGTTGTGCACCGTCGTCCCGCCCAGCACGATCCGGATGCCAGGGGTAGTGCGATTCAGGTTGTAAACGGTCAGTGCCTCCTCATACGTTGCCCCACCAATGATGAAGACGATAATATCTTGTGGCCTGGAACAAACATGAACAGAGAGCTCGGGAAAGGGCAGAAAAGGGGCAGGAGAGCATCACCCCGGCCCGCCAGACGCCTTTGGAAGAGCTGCCCCTCCGGCAGCTGCACGCCTTCCTGCCCTCTGACCAGGCAAAACTTGGGGGACGAAGTCACCTTCGCAGGGCCTTGCCTAGCACTGTCACGGGGCTTCTTCTGAAGAAGGTCACTTCTTGCGAGCAACGCTGCTCATTTAGGGCCAATTCCAGCTTTGTTTCAAATGCCGCTGAAATGTATACCCAAGCAAAGCTGTACCTTGTAAACTTAATATTATACAATGATATAGTTCTAATTTTGTCAGCCATTTTAACAATGCCGTTGTTATAACCCCTAATGGTCCAATAATTATGGGAGAAAATTTTGCCAGTTTATTCCATAACCTTGATATTTCAGTTGTCAAAAACCAGTATTTTACAATCTTTTCCTTTTTCTTTTGAGCTCCTTCAGTGAAATACAGAATTACCACATCAATAAGAAAGTTTTATTTTTTCTTCAACTCCTACAATGAGTGGCACACTGTGCTGTAGATGTTGGTTTGCCTGAATTTGGGGATCCCACATATTTTACGAGGGTGCTCTGGAGCCCCTTTGGATGATCAGAGCAATACTTCAGAGTGTTTTCTGCTCAAACGCCAATGTATTTTTGCCATCTGCGATCTTGCCTTGCCTTAGAGACTGACCCACCATCCTTCTGAATCTCCTGCCTCACACTAAGGTGGACTCATCTGTCGGAGGCAACACCCCTTCTCCTTAACCTGTTCCCGCAGGCTGCTCTGCGCTTACTCCATTAAGACTTCCTTCCTGCAAGGCAGGCAGGCAAGGTGGGTGTAGTAGCCCCTCACATCGAGAGAATGCCAGCTTCGGGAAGGTTTTGTTACTCAGCCCTCGCTCTACTACCTCAGGGCCTTTAAGGCGGTTTCTAACAACAGCATCTCAATTAAGGGACCATTAACATTTCATTCATTAAGAGAACCTCAATGATCATTGCAAATGGCAAATTCACTACCTGCCCTATCAAATGTAGCCCCCTAGAGGGCCTAAATTAGCCACATGAGCAAAAGCATTCTCTACCCCCCCCCCCCCCCCCCCCCCCCAGACTCCTAATGTCCTGTTACCTATCACGCAGGCTGCTGGGGCCCAGGTATGGATACTGGTTGTCTTTCAGTTTCCCCTTGATGAGCTGATCCAGAGTCTCGTGCAATAAAGGCTGGTGCTGCGTGTACACATTCTCAACCCCCTGATCAGAAGGAGACATTTAGAATGACGGAAAAGATTTCAGCCCCCATCTCAGGTACTTACGAAACTCACTGCATTTTTGTGCTTTTCATATACCAACATAATTCTCTTTGCTGCATTAATTATACATGCATCTATTTTACTTGGCCCTTGACCCCATGCCCAGTAAGAACAAAACAACAATATGGATATAGCTAAGAATAACAGAAAGAAAAATACCTTCAGCCCTTTGAGGAACTGCTTGGTAATGGCCACTGCATCCTTTGGGCTGAAGAGGTCACTTGATTGAACCCGTTTCCCTCCGTATTCCGTAATGGCAGGCACCAACTATGTAAGAAAGGGGAGGGGGGTATCACTTTTAAGACTTCTGTAAGGCTTGAACAGGACCCTCCAGGGGGACATTCTGACCTGCAAGTTTCCACAGAGATTTCAAGATGTTGCTGTCTTTAGCCAAACCCAGAACCATCGAATCCAGAAAGCGGAATTAAACCAGCCAGAAAGGTGAGCTTCCACCCTTAGGCTCTTTACCTTGCGAAGCCTCTCGGAAACCCCCCGGTTCTTGAGGTCCAGCATGAGCCCTGGAAGGCTGTTGCTGCTGTGTCGCTCATAATGGAGGGCGTAGAGCATCACCAGCCGGACAGCATCCAGCTCGGTCACTCTGGGATTCTGCAAGAGCTGCCGAATTCTCTATGGAGAGAGAGAGAGAGAGAGAGAGAGAGAGAGGGAGGGAGAGAGAGGGAAGAGGGAGAGAGAGCGAAGGAGGGAGAGAGAGAGCGGGAGGGAGGAGAGAGAAAGAGGGGGTGTGTGATTCAGGCAAACGTCAGGATACGTTTCTCTCATCCCTGAATGGCCATGGAGGCACCCAAAGAAAAGAGCCCCTTCCCCGGGAAGACGGCTGGGGGGAGCTCCCCGGCAAGCTCCCCCCGCTTTTCTTCAACCGTGGGGCTCCTCATTCCTTGCCCCTCACACTCCTCCCTCACAGCTCCTCTGGAAGGGGCAGCATTGTTAGTGGTGGGGCGCTGAGTCCCATGGCCACTGGACCAAGGCCAGGAGATTGTGCCTTTGAAGCAGCAAAAGGACAGATTTTCCGCCTGCCCCATACCAGATGCCCTCAAACCAGTCTCTCCTCATGGGACAAATCCTTCCTTTCAAAGCAGCCGCTCCCTCCCTCCCTCCCCTCCCTCCCTCCCTCCCACATCCTGGGATGGCGGGATTCAGAGAAGAACGCTTCCCTAATGGCCTCCAGGTGATCTCTGGGCTTCCTTCAACTAAAAGGGACCCAATTCCTTTCAGCCATTGGACAGAACGGAAATGCTCTTAGAAACACCCAGTGAAAAGGAAGCCCAAATGGGATGCTTTTTTGGGGGGTGGGGGGGTGGGGGGGGCTTGAATCTCTTAGGAGGCAGAGATCGTCTCTCTCAGCCCCTTCAGGTTAGTTCACTGAGCTGCTATTAACTGGCTTGGGTCATTAGTTCAAAATGATGGTTACCAGCATGCCCATCCTATCCTAAGTCAGAAGTTAAATAGCCTGAGGGCTTAGGCATAAGGACGGTATAAAACAGCCCATTCATGGCTAACACATCTTGGCTTATCACAACGAGGGGCCACACTGACTTCCCTTAAGAGCGTTGGAAGCAGCAGCGTGGGAGTCTCGTTTCCTTCCCGCTCTCGCAGTGGCTCCGACACACACATCCGCGCCCTTTGGCCTGTGGGAGCAGGGCCCCGGAGGTACCTGGAGAGCCCCGGAGTGGTCATTCTGACAGGCCAGCTCCTGCTCGGCCTCGGACACCTCCAGCAAGTTCCTCTCGCTCACCAGCCTGGAGAGCTCCCCCACCACTGTCACGTGCTTGGAGACGGTGCCAGACATCTTCTTGAACTGGGGATAGTTCTCCACAAAGGCCTGGAAGGGGGAGGGAGAGCTTTGGGGGAGGCTCCTGGCGAAGGCCTCCACCAAGCCAGCGCACCGTGAGAGCTCCTGCATTGAAAACAGGCTTCTGCCCCCTCCCCGCCTCAACACTCGGGTACAAGCAGCTGCCCCCACTCCTGTGCCCACAGCTGAGCAAGCGGGGCTGACCCGCCCCCCTGCCCCGCCCCCCCGCTCAACCTTCATGTCTGCAATCGATTCTAGTTTCTGCTGCTCTTTGGGTTTCTTCTTCTGGAAGTCCTCCATCAGGTTCTTGATATTGCTGCCAATTTCCGCAAAGTTCAGGTACATGTTCTGAGGAGAGGTGAAGGGACCCATTTGAAGAGGGGGAGCCCCAACCCCCCACAAATTGGAAAAGCGGCCCAGAGAGAGCCCAACCCGTCTCCAACCCCCAGCTGCCACAGAGGAGCATTGCAATTGGCCCGCTGATTCTCAGGAGAAGCAGGATCACACGCTCCTGGATAAAAGGATCCCAGGCAGTGAGGCAGGGCAGTTGGAAATGTGGGGCTGGAAGCGCGTAATTAAAAGCACTTTCCGTGCAGCCATATGTGCCGCATTTGTATGTTGCAGGGACCCGACATTTGGCTAAACCTGGCTGATGGTACACATCACAGTAAGCCATGGTTTGTTAAATCACTGGCTGGGTTCAGGCTCCAAACAACCGTATTAAGAATGATGCATAAATCCAGCTAGAGAATGAATAGTCCAGGGTCCACCATGCGGCCCTGGCAGAGCCAATAAACCAAGTTTTCATTCAAAGCCTCAACTGGGGGCAGGGAAAGAGAACCCCATGGCGGAACTGGAATCCAAAATCTTAAATAAAGATTGGCAGCTTCTTACATTGGCATAAAACTCATCGTTCTCAGCAGACAAAACCACCTCCCGCAGGTCTTTGCTGATGCCTGGGACCCGTGAGAGATCAATGCGGTTGTTGTTAATGCCCAGCAGTTCGTGAACCATGGCTTGGTACGTCCACTGGACAGAGAGGGAGGCAAGCGGAGGGATGGCACAGTCATTTCCCTGGAGGGGCCAATTGAGGAAGAAAGGAAAGCCCCTCCCTCCCCCAATTGCCCCGAAGACGCGGCTGATCCTTCAAAGCCTCTGCAGCTCTTAACTCACCTGGTTCAGAAGCGGAGTGATGGCATCGTCCGAGCGGTCCAGGAGCAGCAGCAGCGGAGGGACTTCGGTGCGACGGAAGTCGAAGAGCTCGTACTCTTTCGTGATCACTTGCTGTTTGGGGCAAAAGAAGTTCCTCTGTTAGAGGAGGCAGCAGATATCGGTGCTCTAAAAACACAGGAATAAGCGGCATGAATACCAAAGGTTTGTGGGTCTCCAAAATAGGAAGATAAAACTACACCTTGACGCCTTCAGCCAGCCTCTTCGCCAAGTCGGAAGAGAGCTGGTAACGAATCATGGGGCACTTCTTCAGGGAAAGAAGCAAGGCGGTGAGGCCCTGAGTAGTCCTGCACAAATGGGCTGAGTCCCAGTTGCGGCCCTGGAAACAGAAAATGGCCGAGAGTTGCAAAAGACCTGCCTAGGCTCAGCCCCCAAGCAAGTATCAGGGAGAGATTCTGTGGAGCTCTGGCTCTTTAGGAGGCGGCTAACGGGGGTGTCCGTACGACAGGCATTTCCCCGCTTCCAAGCGCAAACACCACTCTAGCTGCAATTTGGAAGAGGATTCTCCTTTCCTAAAGGAAATTACCTTGGGCTCAATTTCAACTATTACGTTGTCACTCCCCTCTTTGATTTAAGCTTTAAGACAGCAATGATGCAAGCCTTGACTTACAAACAAACTTCCTCGATGTATCTGTCACGTGACTGCAGCATATACAAAAAGAGCATTAGGCTGCGGGGGGGGGGGGGAAGAAACCTCCTCCCAGTGTTACGCTTTTCGCTATTGAAGAGCAAAACTGCTCCTGTAAAGATCATTTTGTTACCTAAATACTGCTTCATATTCCCACTGAAGAAAATCCATCGCTCATGCCTTAAAATCTCTTAAAATATCTAAGAGCCACGGAAGCTCAAAATGGCAGAACACCAGCTAAAGTCTTTAGGAAGTGCAATGTTCAGCAAGGACTCCTTGTCTTTCTGCCCAGTCAGCCCAAAAGTATTGACACCTGAAAAGTGGTGGCACTAGAGGTTCTCTCCCCCGCTCTCAAACACACACTCCTGCCCGGCAACGACTGCCTTACCTGACAGCAAGCAGGGAGGTTGAGAGAAAACACATGTGGATTCACAGCAATGTAATCTCCATAGAATTCCTGCCAAAAGAAAAGTAGAAAGGATCCACTGCCGTGCTAGCAACACATTTAAGACCTTGTGATCAGTCCAGTCCCTGGAAGCAGGCAGCTGTAGGCCTGGCCTTCTGCACACCGGGCAATTTTGTTCAAAGGCTTTTGTCCGACTATGGGATTGGTCCTCTGCTTCTAAAATACCTCGACTGTGTGTGTGTGTGTGTGTGTGTGTAAATGTGTTAACAACAGCCAGAATTGTATTTGCTAAAAATTGGAAAAATGAGAAAATACCAATGCAGGAAGAAGATATTAAGAAAATAATGGAATGTGCTGAAATGAGTAAATTGACATTTGAAATTAGAGAACAAGAAGACAAACAATATTACAAGATATGGGATTTATTTTATCAATGTTAGATAAAAAATACGGAAATGAAATATTTTAGATAATTTGATAAGGATAATAGAATTATAGAGAATACAACATAACGTATTATTATTAGATGGATTTATGATGAGATAAGGAATGTTATAATATAAATTAATCTAAAATGCTGAATATTTCGCATAAAATGATGGAATAATAGCTATAGTCAAATAAATGATTAACAACGATTATATGATATTACGAACACTATACAGAATCCTGATGATGGCAGATGAGATTCTGCCGAAATGTTGCTACAACTTTAAAAACACAACTATAATGACGTGGGAAAATACCCGAACAAAGCTGAATACCATACATACATACATACATACATACATACATACGTACATACATACATACATACATATTGTTTTCGTAGATTTTCACGGGTACAGGTATGCAGGTCTTGGCGTGTCCGGGTCTTTTCCCGTGTAAGATTGAGACTATCTTGGTGACGTTTCAATGAGGTCCCGCTCGTCATCTTCAGGCTGGTGCTTTCGGCTTTGTGCTTGTGCTAGCAAAGCGTGATCTGAGCTACCATCTCTCTATAAATACTGGTGGGGAGGTTGGCTGTGTTGTCATTTCAGCACAAGACCCAGGATGTCAAAACAATAGAACTCAGATGGTCATCACACAGCCCATTACCCAGGTCGTTACAACACAGAAAGCTGATAGACACACAGCCAGTACCTCAGCCACACGTTCTTAAGAAAAAGCCAGCCAATCTGCAAACATCAACTCCATCAACCAATCAAGAAATGACAACACAGCCAATCTCCCCACCAGTATTTATAGAGACGGCAGCTCAGATCACATTTTCCCATGTCATTATAGCTGTGCTTTTAAAATTGTTAGCGACGTTTCGGCAGAATCTCATCTGCCATCATCAGGCTTGTATATTGTGTTCGTCTGTGAGTCAGGCTTTCATAACCGTTTCTGTTTTAAATTTGGTGCTAGCCTACTGCTGTGTTGGAATGATTTTTTCTTCATCCTGATTGGTTGAGAGTCTGACTCCCAATACACACACACACACACACACACACACACACACACACACACACGAGATGGATATGAGAATTTAAACAAACTTTATAAGTGAGGACTACGGAGATGAAGCACAAAAGACTTGTAACCAACTGACACACTGTATGTAACTGGAAGATGGTTTTATGTTTTATCTTTTGTTTGTGTATGTTTGTTTAAAAATAAAAAATCTTAATAAAAAAATAAAATAAAATACCTCGACTGTGCAGGATGCCAGGGGGGCAGCACTTCATACCTGCACTTCAGCTACCACTTCCTGCTCATCAGCTTCTGCCAAAGACTTGACGTTGCTCTTGCTGATCACATTGCTGAAATCTGAAATTGGTAAGAAGCCAGCAGGGAAAAAGGATCTTTTGAAAGCTCATCAAAATATTGCAGTGCAAAAAGAAGAGAGGGATGAGAGCAGGCAAAAAGCAGGAACTGTTTTCTAGTCCCACTTACGGGTGCTGGCATTTAACCTGGGACTTTAGCACTAGCTGCAATTCTCCTCCCATCGGCTCCTGCTTGGCCAAAACAGATCACCTGACTTGGGAGACCTCATTATGAGACATAACGCATCAGTAAACCATCATTTAATCAATCGCTGCAATTCAAAATCAGATTTTTTATATACATACATACAGTCATTTGTGTATCCATTTTCTAACCTTTTTTATAGTTAGTTTACTTTTTATAAAGATTTTAAACCATCCTATCAATAAACTTTGGGCATGAATATAACCAAAGTAATAATTATCTATTTCAAAGCCTCTGTGGGTGAGTATTGGAGGTTTTATGACCATTTAGGCCAAAAGCCCCTGGCCAGATCAATGTGGCCACTTAAGCAAAGAGTGACTTATAGAGGCCAAGCTTTGGGTCCTTGTTGCAGGCTCAGGTTGGGTACTTGGAGTATTAATAATTTATCAATTTAGCCACACCCCTTTCTTGCATACAGAAAATTTAATCTGGGCTACCAAAACCCAACTGAAGTTCAAATTAAAAAAAAATAAAGCAGAACCCTATATAATATCAAGACTATTGTATGCTAAAATTTATTAGATTGTAAGTATGGCAGATTCTTGAAACAGCAAAGCCTAAAGCTAATTCATGGGTAGTGAGGCCAGCTGCACACTGAGTACACTTAGGCATTAACTGAACTGAATACTTCACCTGCACAGCTTCCACACTCCGGGTGAGCCAACTAAAAGTCCCATCTCCTCCTGACTCAGCCAGGATGAATAACAGTGGCATTTCAGAGGAGGAAAAGTCCAAAGGAGAAAAGCCACTGCAACCTGTCTTGCCTCCGCGCCCCCCCCTCTTGCTGTTCCAGTACTGCCCCATGAAAACAGGATGAGTCGGTCAGAACCTTTGTCTCCAGGAGAAGCAGCCCCAGGGAGGAGGGCACCCAAACCCTCACTCCTGCCATAGGTTGTACAGGAGAGAACACAATGCAGAAAGGAAATGGATGGCAAAGGCTTGGTGTACTCACAAATAAAATAAGAGCTGTATTTGGGTCTCCGCAACTCCTGGATAAGATACTCCACATTTTCCTAGGGAAGAAACAAATCCAAAGAGAAAAAAAGTGGAAAGATCAGCAAATTAGCAGCAAACCAGTTAAGGAGAAAGTATAACTGAGTTTATTCAGCAAAAATCTACCCCAAATCTACCCACATACCCGTTCTGGAGGCCGCGAGTCAAGATGTCAGGTAGTTGCAAACTGGGGGGTGGGGGTGGGGGGAGGTGGTCTGAGGAAGCACCCACCCTGGAGAGGCTTCTCTGGCCCTTGGGGGAGCAGAGTCATGGCAGCTGCCTCCCAGGTCCGAGCCACGGGGGTCCGGGACAGAGCCTTGAGGGGGGAGCAGGAGGGGGGTCACCTTGCTGGGCCGGAGGAAGCAGATGGCTTTCAGGTGCTTCATGCTCTCCCGGTTGGCCGAATCGATGCGCTCGAAGAGGTAGACCTCCTTCTGCAGAATCTCCGACTGCGTGTACACCATACTCACGATGCTGGTCTAGGACAAGCGAGTCAGGGCAGGGAGGGCTCGTCCCCGCCTGCTCGGAATTGAACGCCGGCGCCGCCGAGCACGGAGGGGAGCACCGGGGCGCCACGAAACCCCGCCCCCGCCGCGCCCCGGCTCCGACCCTCCGCTGCAGCTCACCGTCTCTTTATCCATCAACAGGACCTTCATGCCGGCCCCGCTGTCGCCGATCATCCTGGAGACGTACTGCTTCACCGCCAGCACCACGTTCATTTTGCCGGCTCCCCTCCAGCCTCGCCGGGACCCTCAGCGCCTCCTCCGTTTTCCTCGCGCTGGGAGGAGCCCGCCCCACCCTTCCGCTGGCCTGGGAGCCGCAGCCTCGCGCCGCCTTAAACTACAACCCCCAGCAGCCCCCTGGCCAGCCGGCCGGAGCGCGCCTGCGCTACCCGGGCTGGCTCCCTTCGGCCCTGCTGCGCTCCTAGTCCAGGCGGAGCGGCCGCGTCCCGTTGAACCACCGTCGGCTCCCGCGAGAGGGCGCCCTGGAGCCGGCACAGCCCCGACCCTCCGTCCCTTCTTCCCAGTTCATCTCCCAATGAAAATCTGCCCCGGGACAAGCAAAAGGGTCCCGGGCGAGGCAGAGGCCGGGTGGGAAGGCGCGAAGGCCGACGAGGCAACATCCCAGTCCTGGCGGTACACCGGACAGCTCCGCATGGGATGCCGCCAGCCGGGGGATTCCTGCCGGCGGGCTGCAACATGCCGCCCAGCGCCGGGGGACCAGCTCAGCCTCCTCCTGCTTAGGGGCAGCTGGCCGGCTGGCAGAGAGCCCCGCCGGGGGTGGGTGGGTGGGGGGTCTTGCCTGCCTTGGACTACGACTCCAATCTTTTCCAGCCAAGACTCGGGCCGGGGACTGGAGAGAGTCGCTTTGGGCGAGATGAGCTGCCTGCTAGTTTGGCAAATAAATAAGAAATAAAAGTCGCCGCCACCGATGTCCCAAACCAACGGGCAGCCCCAACGGGCAGACGTTCGGCATGCCCATTGCCAGAGAGCTGGCCAGGGAGGCCCACCGCTTTGGGGACTGAGCCGGGAACAATTCACTCGCTCACTCCCACCCACGACCCCATTTGGGGGTCTGAGGTCCCCCTGCTTCCTTCTCGGCTCTGAAGCCCATAGGAACTTGAGAAAGACCGGCCGTGAGCGGGCTCAGCCCTTTGGCTGGGAAAAGGACCCTGAAGTCTGGCACAGGGGCAAGGGAGCCGGAGCCTAGCAGGGCTGCAGCACTAGGGCAACTCTCCTGAGCCTGGGTTTTCTCTAACAAAGAGCTGCCCTTCTGCCGCTTCCCGATCTGCAAAAAGAAAAGGAAGGGAATGAATTCTGGCCTGTGGAAATCCACTCGCTCAGTTGGCTCAGTCCTTCTTACAGCCTTTTTGATATCCTACATTTAATCCATAAATCTCTTGTTTTTGTTTTTGAAATGATCCCTTAATTTAGGTACGGATATTTAAACACAGCATAATGTGTTCCTCCCCCCCCCCTCTCTCCAGAGTCCTTCTGCTTCATCCACAACAAAGTGCAAACAACTATTTTCCTATTGATCTGTGCAAATGGCTGATAAGCTGCCAAGAAGACTTTCTCACCACCCCACCAGCTGTCTTTTGCACAAACATTGCATCAGAAACAAAACCCCAGCATTTAGTTTTTAAAAAGCAAAGAAAACAAAATTTGGGCCCATGTCAGGGCAATCAGCCTTGCACAGGCTCTCCTTTCTTTGCTAGACTTTTCTGTATCCACAGAGATGACAATCAATCTTTTTGTCCAGGACATAAACAATGGCTGGGAAAAACAAAGGCAACAATTCACTCTCAGGATCAGCTGAGGTGGCCACGTGACCAGTCCCTCTTAGGCTCTCTACTTGGACTGGAGACAGGTTCATGCCTCTTCATTTTTGTGATTTAGGAATGGGAGAACTAATTTTGAGGTGGGACTTATGGACAACACCAGGGGTATCATGGAACATGTGATCTAAGGGACCAAGCCTACGGGGGTATAAAAACAATCAACCAATGTATGTCCAGTCTCTTTCTGTCGCCATTAGAGCAACACCGTGAAGATGGAAATGGAAAGCCAGTTTGGCCCAGGCAACAGGAGATTAGAAATCAGGGAACCCTGACTTCTAGCCTTGCCTGAGGCATGAAAGCCATCTGGGTGACTTTGGACCAGCTCACCTCACAGGGTTGTTGTGGGGAGCATTAGGTATGCTTGCCTCCTTAAATTATGTATAAAAATAATAAAGTTGGGATTAAAACAAATGAATATTTGAAGAAAAGTTTGGTTTTACCTTCTTCCCATGCCTGAGAAGAAATTTGAAACCAGGTTACATCCTTTAATTACTGTGTCATGCAGGTAAAGAAAATAGGAGAGGCAGAAAAATATTTCCAGAGCAAAGAATTATATGAGAAGAATGATTAGATTTCCTCTAAAATACACCTTTAAAAAATTACTGAAATAAAATACAGATTAAAAAATGAATATATCTTAAAGGCCAGGTATGAAACAGATGCAAGGATGATTTGGAAAGACAGAGGTGTAGAGATGTATGCTGAGTGGTGTGAAGTACATTTAGCTATACTTACTTTATACACACACACACAAAATAATATATTTATAGATAGATAGATAGATAAAATATATCTTATTTTGGTGTATTTTCTATTCCTTTTCTGCACTTCTACGACCTTTCTTATTCTGAAAGAGAACAACATGGCAGGTATGCACAGGTGCTGAAAACTGCAACACAGATATCTACATCTAGTGCATGTTGTCAGTTTCCTTTTAGTCACTTTCAGAGCTTGTGCTGTCAAGTTCCCATTGGGAATGCATTCCGATACCCGCTCAGCCTCCCACTCCTGAAAGCAGGCCTGCCTTGAATTCTGCTGGACCTGCTGGTCACATGATGATCCACACCAGTGGGAAAGTTGGAAACCATCAAAAAAGCTCTGGATATCTTTGAGCCCCGTGTAGGCTTTTTTAAGGGGCTGAGAAGCACACAACTGTTATTATTTTTCTTCAAGGAGACCCATCCTCCCAGCCTTCAAGAAAGACAGCCCAAACTGAAGAGCTGAACCCATAGATATCCTGCCTGCTTGATCCGTCAGCACTATGGACAGCCTACGATCAGGAGAATGCCAAGCACTTCGGGCCCCATAGGATGGCATGTCCCTCTCCTTACAGGGGTCTCAAGTGCCAAAGGGCTCTGCCCACTGCTGTGTTGTCGTTTCCAAGAAAATGTTGGCAGGGACAAATATTTTATCATTTCATAGCAGCAACAGTTTTCAAGGGTGAAGGTTAGCCTTTCGAGCTGAATGGGAAAATAAGCACTGAGCTCTTCAAACCAAGATTTATTTCTTCTTCTTGGGAAGAGCTCTGTGAAATAGCAAAGAACCCTCCGTTTTGGAACTGTCTTTTTCTGGAGATTCACCCAAGTTGAGGCCTGGCTGTTTTCAGGGAATAAAGTAAGCATTTTAATTATTTTTCTGAATGCTCGGGGAAGAATTTGACTGTGAATATGAATATATTTGTAATGTACATTTTCACTATTTTAAAGCAATGTAATATTAGTCATGGGATATGACTCTAAATATTATGTTGTATATCTTTTTGACAAGTGACCACATGTTCTCCTCAGTTACAATGTCTGTGCACTCCTTCATGAAGGAAAAGATACGTGCGGCTATTTTCAGTCCTCCTACCAGATAGCAGCAAGATTTAGGCACAGTGGTCCTTTTCAGTTCCAGAAGAGAGGCCATCTGTAGTCAAATTATTAAAAGAACAAGGGCGAATAGTACTTTGGATTTATTTTGATGGCAGCTTGGCCCACACCAAAAAGGCTGGCTAGAAATAAAAATAAATTCAAAATCCTGGACTATGGGATTGTCAGTAAAGTAGTTCATCGTGCATTATTACTTCACAGGAACATCTTTATGTCTGAATATTATTCCAGGCCAAATGACATCCTTATGCCCTGTTCTCGGAACATGTCTTTATTTAATAAAAGTGCAAACTGCAATAGGTTTTTATAAAGGGCAGATACATTCTTATCCATACAGCACTATATTATGTGAAAGCTCGCTTTCAGCCAGTTGCTCGGCAATACAGCACTTACAAAATCTATGCAGTTTGGTTACTGGATCTGCACTTTGCATCATTGTGTGTCAGCCAACGTTTTTGCATTAAAAGAGACGAAACAAAGAGGAAGGAATCAGTGGTTCCTGGTGCTCTCTAAGCTTGGCTGTTTTCTTGCAGGCATTTCATTATCCAAACTAGGTAACCTCACCGGCGCTAGACAGTTGTATTGCGCTGCATCCAGCGCTTCTGGGAAAGCAGCCACAAGTCCACATAAGCTTTGCAACACGGCCTATGAATGACTTCACTCCCAGGGAACCGATTAGCAGATTAGCCGATTCAATAAGCATCCCTGAGAGCAGGCTTCCTGCTGAATAGGCAGACGGGGTTATTTTTGGTTAAACTGGCCAGACTTAAAGTGGGAAAAGGCATTTGTGGAGGAATTCACTGGGTTAGGATGCAGACTGCAGCCCCCTCTTTAAAGCCTTCTCGAGCGGTATTTTTCTCTACGGCCCCCTTCCCTTCTCTGTCCTGGTTCGTTGTGCCTTGGGCACCGCTCTCGCGGAAGAAGCGCCTCTCCAAAGCCGGGAGGCATCTGGGCTTCCAAAGAGAGCGAGCGAGCGAGCGAGGAGGGAGTCGGGGGCCAGCAGATGAAGCGAAGCCTCCCGCTTATTTGCAGCCGCCGCCCCCAGCCCACCCCTCCCGGCTGCGGGGACCCCCCACCCCCACCACCCAGGGTCCGGGCAAACGAGATTGGCCGGAGCCTCGACCCCGCCCCGGAGCAGCTGAGAAACACCTCCGGGCGGAAAAGAAGATCCAGCGCACCGGAGTTCCGGGGAGAAAGAGCAGGGGACGTTCCAGCGGCGCACACGCGCAGAGGGCGAAAAAGGGGCGAGCGGGGCCTGGAGCGGGCGGAAAAGGACCGCCGCCGCCGCCGCCGCCGCGCCCCCTCTCCTCCGCTCCTTCCGGTCGCTCTCCGGGAGGCCATCCGGCCGAGGTCTCGCCTCTCGGTCTGGCCTCCTCGGAGCCGGGATGGCGGCGGCCGAGGAGCAGGGTAAGTGGCCCGTAAACGCCGCTTCCTCCTCTGCGACCCCGGTCAATGGGACGGGGCGTCCCCGGCCTCTGCCCACTTGTTGGCCGAAGCCTCCCCTGCCTGCGGCTCGGACGGGGCCGCTCGTGACCCGACGTTTTCCCCCGTGGCCTTTCTCTTCCTCCGGCCTCGACTGCCTCTCCGCGCTTTGGCTTCGGGCCAGCCGGGAAGTCCCCGCCGAAGGGCGGCCGCCGCCCCCGGAATCCTCCCGGGCTATTTTGA